AGATAATTACTAAATTTTCCAGGAATACATAAATCTTTAGAATCAGGAAGTATAATTATCCTGAGCAGGATAAACATAAAGAAATCTACACGTACATTTTATCTCATCAGAATGAATCTACAAAACACCAAACATGTAGAATTTTTAAGAACAAAGTGAATGACAATTTACCATGAAAGAAACAACACTCATTTCTGACTTCTCAACTGCAGCAATGGAAAATAGAAACCAGAAATAGAATATATTTAAATTACTGAGAGAAAATAATTTGCAACCTAAAATTGTATTCTGAGGAAATTATCTTTTAGGAAGAGGCTAAAATAGAGACATTTCAGACAAAAACTGAGAGTTTATGAACAGTTGACCCTCACTGAAGAATTCTTTAGGGCTATACCTCAAGAAGAAGGTAAATGATCCCAGAAACAAGTTATGTGGGGCAATAAGTAATGGCAAGCAAAAACAAATAATAAAAAAAGGGATATATTAAATATGGGTATATCTAAACCAACACCGCTACATAAAATAACAAAATTAGGTCTTTAGTTCAGGCAACAAGGCAACAGTGGAGTCAATTATATTGGGCAAACCTTTCTACAGATAATATGATAAATTCTGGGAGATATATATATATATATATCTGTTATATATATTTAGAGACATAAATCTGAAACTTGAAATGATCAGGGGAAACATTCATCAAATTGCATAGTATTTAAGACATGTATGTTTTACTGTATACAAATATTAGCTAAAAAGAACTATAAAATATTAAATTCCAGTTAGTGGGCTCACTTTTTGGAATGATATGAGTTAGCAATTTAAAACTAACGTCTGTGAATTCTAGGCTAGAACAAATGAGTAAACATATTGAGGATAACAAAAACCAGATTTCTCACTGTTAAAGAAAGGAGTTACAAATATGAAAAGGGAGAAGACTAGAATGTAACTTATGATGCTGAACTGGGATTTGAGTTATAAAGATAAGCACAGTTTTGATAGAAAAGTCAATATAGAATAGGTGTATATATGTGTGCATATAAAATATGTATTGCAGAAATATTAAAACATATTTCCTAGCTCTACCAGTTGAGAGAGCCTAGATGCAGTGACATGCCAATATCCATGAACACACTTAGTGTACATATCTTGGTTTCAAAATTCTACTGCCCACTGAAAGCAATTAGGCTCCATGGGGAAAACGCTAATTTTAGACTAGAATAGGTAAGTACAAGATAATCTGGATAGTTCTAAACATAAGTTAAGAAATCTTTAAAAAGTAGAATAGCACAAAGTAAGATGGTAGAAAGAAATAGGAACATATTAGTAATCACAATTAATGGACTAAGCTCACCAAATAAAAGACGAAGATTTCAGACTAGAGTTTTAAAAATTCTGTCACATGGTGGTTACAAGGAAAATGCCTAAAATATAAAGCTGCTGAAAGACAGATGGAATTTTTAGGATATTTAATAAATTCCTAAAACTTAAGAAGGAAAATAAAACAGAATTGAAAAAATGAACATAGAATTATATGTTCACATAATTAAGTGCTTCATAGAGTTATAAATTCAAATGGCCTATAAACTTAAAAAAGATGCAGTATCCAGTAAAGTTGAAGATAGAAATATCCTATGACCCAGGAATTCTACTCCTGTATATATCCTAGAGAAATTTGCAAATAGGCCCTGGGAGACACAAACAATAATTTCAGAGCAGCACTGGTTTTAATGACAAACTGGAAAAAACTATCCATGTGTGACAAAGTATATTCATACAATGAAATATTCAACAGCTAAACAAATGGAAAAAACACACACCCACCTACACAAATCAACGACAATCTCAAAAACAAAGTTGACTAGAAGAGTCAAACCACTAAAAAAAATGCATCAGTATGATAATATTATATTAAAATAAGAAACTATGTTGCATTTACTTGGGGTAGAAAAACTTCTGGGTACCAAAACCAGAAATTACTTAAAATACTGGTGTAAGTGTTGAGAAAGAGAATGACTTCAATGTCTAGACCAGCACTATTCAATAGTACTTTCTACAATGATGGAAATATTCTATATCTGCACTGTCAAATATAGTAATTGCTATCTACACATGGCCTTTGAGCATTTGAAATATGGTTAGTGAAACTGAGAAACTAAATTTTCAATTTTATTTAGTTTTAATTAATTTAAATTTAAATAGCCACATGTGGCTAATGGCTACTGGTCATTACAGGTCTACACAATAAATCTTTCTACAAGTATGGTAGTTTGACAACTCTGTCCTTACATATTTGGCAAGTAACTCAAAAGGAGTTCAAAGAAAAATGACATTGCTATAATAAATCTCTTCCTATTTCCATCTATTTACTTATGTAAACAGGTTGTATTAAGGCTTACATCAGCAAAACAAAAACATAAGTAAATATTGATTCAGTCAAGTCTGTAGAACTTATATACAGATGCATGGATTGAGGAAATAAAAGTCCCATGCATCTTATTAATAAACGTGTTTTTGATAAAAATTTACTTTTTTGCTTAATAATTACTTATCAAAATTTGGGTATTATATTTAAGTTGTTTTGATAAATTGTGTACAAAAAATAATTGTAATGTTAATTTGATAACTTTAATACCCAGAGCAGAGATTCCCAAATTTTCTCAGTTCATAGGGCCCTTCCTTAGTGTTGCAGTACTTCTTCCAAGGCTCTCCTAGGCTAAAAAGAAAGTCCTGACAACTTAAGAGTAGTAGTTCAGGTCATGCCCAACAGATGTCACTGTGTTTCTCTCAAAAATTTAAAATAATCTGTGGTGCCCCTGTGAGTTGACTACAATGCCAGGGAGTACCTTGATGCACACACCCATGGACCTAGCTAGCCTTTTGGGTAAAGAAAATGAAACAACTGGCAAATCTGGATAAAGGATATATAGGAGTATCTTCTATTTCCAATGTTTAGGAGAAATTTAAAAGAATCATTTAACTAATGGAAAACATACAGGACATATAGAAAAAAATAGATTTTAAGAATTTATGAAGGTTATAACTAATTTGGGGGCAGGTCAGTAGTGAATGGAATGACTATCCAGGGGCCCAAAAATACGTTTTGAAGTTTAGATTAAGTATCCTACAAAAGAAATGGATAGATATGCACATATATAAGTATACCAGTGCATATTACAGGGAAAAGATTTTAATTATTAGAGTTGTAGAAAGCTGTATTTAACTTAGAAAATAAGCCTCTCCCAGCTCATATCCCATCTTCCCATACTGAAGGCTGCTTGTGGTCACATATTGGGGAGACTGTCTGATTACCTATTCCTTGATGATTGACTAGACCATGCTAAGAAAATAGATCCACACTGGGAAGGTTTAACTGAATGAGACAGAGACAGAGAGACAGAGAAAGAGAGATGCACTGTGGAGTCAGAGAAAGAGGTACAATGACTTGAAGACAATATTAAAGAAGATTTACGTAAAAGAGGCAGGGTTAAAGGTTACCATGTACTTCTGACGATAGTTATATTTTCCACGTTATATTTATAAACTTCTTTTCTCACTGGCATTTTCTATAAATAGTCCCTATCTAGTTTAAATCAGCAGTTTATAGAAAAACAGAAGTTCCTTAAGAATAGCAGGCAGAGTAGTATGAAGTTTCCCCACAATTATCAACACCTTCAGTGTTTCCAGGCTCATGATCTGGATATCATTTTCCTTATTCCTACTTCTCTTTAGATCTCCATTTATAAATTCTGCTAATCGTTTCTTTGTAATAACCTTGAGATTCACTTTTCCATCAATAGCATCGTCCTACCACACCCCCACTCCCAGGTCCCAATGTCTCCACTCCCCAGCTCTCTGGCCTTAACTAATCCAGGTGTGGATTACTGCAATGGTTTATTAGGAATTCTCTTCATCATTTGACCTTTTCAACACCAAACATTGAGAAGATTTGTACAGTACTATTTATCCTTCAGCTCAAGTGTCCACAGTGGCTGCCCATTCCTAAGTCTTTCACTCAAGGTACTTCATCACTGGACAACAATTTTGTTAACCAAAACTTTAGTTCCATAAAAGATATTCTACTTCAACTGCTCTACTCGAGCGTTATCTTCAAGTTTGACTTACCTTTCCTTCCATCCTCTCTGGCCTGCCACAGGTATAATATTGTTAAAAGAACATCTTCATTACTGTGATGAGAGTGGGACATCATCAAAAGGGAGGGAACATTTTCTTCAGATGATCANCAGCGTGGGCTTTGGGTCAGCTGAAGATTTCCTTGGCCAAAGCAGAAGTGCCCATGAGCATGTGTTAGTGCTACGAGTTAATTGCGTGGTAATTAAATGCTAATGTGGTTGATCAAAGGATGTATGTAATTGAAGCATAATAAAATGTGACATGCTTAGTAAGCAATTGAGTTGTCTTCCCAAGGATATAGGCAGGAGAAGCACAGATGTCAGTAACAAGCTATTTTTTGCACAGTTCTGTGCATTTGTTTTCTAAAGAAGATATATAAGATATTTCTCTTAAAAATAAAAGCCCAAATCCCATATCTACCATACTTGAAAACCAGATTCATAATTTTATATAAAATAGGCTTTGTTTGATAGTACTTAGTTTTACATGCAGGATGTTACCCTTGGTAAAATTTTGAGGTTTTTTTTTTTTTTTTGGGGGGGGGGGGGCTTGGTAGCCTAGAATTTGACTTTATACCACCACTCTTTCATCTTTGAAGATTCATAGTCTTCATCTTTTTCAAAATCCAGCTCAGACTTTAACTTTAGAATTTTTCCTAGACTGACAGCACAGGATAAAATATTCCCTCTATTCAGTATACTTGCTCTTAATTTAGAATTTTTTGTTATGCAGGAGCCGACAGAGTTCAGTACATACTTTTCAGTATGTACAAGTTTGTTATATGTGCATATTTGCATTCCTTATCATCAGTCTAGGACACAAAATAACATGTTCCTCTTAATTTTCAAATTAAATGCCTCTACCTTGTTCTCTCCTAGGGACGCTCACTTTGCTTAAACTCCAAAACCTCTAGGGATGCTTATTTAGGTTTACAGGTCTGGTGACCATCCTCTGTTTAGCCAACCAAGGAAATGTATTCTTTTCAGCTGTTACTAATATCACTGGCACAAGATACACCTGTTGAAACAAAGACAACTCAGCAGCCTCAGCACAATATTTGTTGCAACTATTGCAATATTCCAGGGCCACACTTCTTGTTCAGTACTGAATGAGCCATAATAAATCGGACATGGCTCTCTACTGAGAACCTGGCCACCTGCCCAGTGCAAGCCTACCTAGCTATGAGCCTTTGAATACCTTGCAATGGAAGGAGCTCAGTAGCACTTACCCACCTTGCTTGTGACTTTGGCTCAGAGTCAAGTCTTCATGTACTAACAGACTCGGCTCAGGTCTTTGAGGCTAGCACACATATACAGACACAAATATTTTCTAAGGCTGCCTGTAGTACCAGAATAAATTTGAAAAGATTTCCAGACTCAGCTACTACTGTGACTAATACAATTCTCTTTTGTTGGTTTTTGAATATCTACTCCAAGAGCAAAAGAAATGCCACCCGTTTTTTTCAAAGACCATGCCCATTTTCTGCCCCAGGATAAGTAACAGTGCTTTAAGGGAAGACCTTGCTTTGTTATATATACTGTATATCCAGCTAGAGTTAGGGACCAGGCAATCAATTTCTTCTCTCTTCTTTGTACAGTCCCCACTGTGATAGGTACTTGTAGAGACTTGCTGTTTGTTTGACCAAGTCCCTAATCTCAATATCCTTTGCCCATTTCTACAAAAAGGGCTGGAAAAACCAAACACAAGGTTTTCCCCACTGCCTGAAGGTAGAACATTCCTATGAAAACTTTTCTAAACTGAAATGGCATTAAGTGAAGTGATTACCATTAATTTATACAGAAAAAACTTTTGAGTGTTTCCAGACCCCCAAAATAACCTACCAAATCATACCAAGTAACACATAAAACCTAAAATAATGCTAACATATATTAAAAGTGAGAATGATATAAATATACACCATACTTTGTATATACATCAATCCACTCAAACAATAGATTTTCTACTGGACACCAACTAAAAGAGACCACTTTGCTACTTACTAGCAGAACCAATAGTAACTGTGGCAGCTTTTAAGAGTCTCTCTGTGTGCAAATAGTACAAATGGTGGACACAAGCAAGTACAACACACAATGTCTTAATTTTGCTCCTTATGTATTTTAGATATTAACTCCTTATCAGGTATATGCAAATATTGTCTCCCATTTAGTAGGCTGCCTTTTAATTTATTAATTGTTAAACAATTGTTCTCTTTGCTGTGAGGAAGCTATTCAACTTGATGTAGTCTCATTTATTTTTGCTTTTGTTGCCTGTGCTTTTGGTGTCATAAAGAGTCATTGCCAACACCAATATCAAGAAGGCCTTCCTGCCCGGCCAGGCGTGGCTCAGTGGTTGAGCATCGACCTAGGATCCAGGCCATCAGGGTTCGATTCCCGGTCAGGGCACATGCCCAGGTTGCAGGCTGCAGCTCATCAATGACTCTCTCATCATTGATGTTTCTATCTCTCTCTCTCCCTCTCCTTTCCTCTCTCTGAAATCAATAAGGATATATTTAAAAAAAAAAAAAAAAAAAAAAAAAAGGCCTTCCTCTTTGCTCTAAGAGTTTTAAGATTTCAGGTCTTATGTTTAAGTATTTAATCTATTTCCAGCTAATTTTTGTCTATGGAGTAAGATAAGGGTTCAATTTCATTCTTTTGCATATGGGTATCTAGTTTCCCCAATGCCATTTATTGAAGACTATCCTTTCTCCTTATGTGTTCTAGGCACCCCTGCCAGAGATTAGTTGACCTCTGTGTGGGCTTATTTCTGGGTTCTACATTCTGTTCCATTGATCTGTTTCTGTTTTTAAGCCAATGCCATACTTTTTTTTTTTTTTTAAATCCTCACCAAGCATGTCTTCATTGATTTTAGAGGGAGGAAGGGAGAGAGAAAAACTGATGTGAAAGAAACATTGATGGATGCCTCCCATGCTCGCCCTGACCAGGGATCAAACCTGCAACTTAGTTAAGTGCCCCAACCGGAAATTGAACCCGCAACCTTTCGGTGTACAGGATGACGCTCCAACTGAGCCATCTGGCTGGGCACAAGTGCCATACTCTTAGTTACTATAGCTTTGTAATATAATTAGAAATTATTAAGTTTGAGGCCTCCAGCCTTTTCTTTTTCAAGATTTCTTTGACCATTTGAGGTCTCTTGTGATTCCATACAAACTTGAGGATATTTTTTTGTACATCTGTGAAAAATGCCACTGGTATTTTGCAAAAAGAGTTACGGCTGGTGCATTAAAGGTGTTCAAATGAACTCAATGTTTTCAAATACATTTTATTTAGAAGGAGACAATGCTGCATAGTGCAATGTTTCTCACATGTAAGAAATATACCAACCTTTACAAATGAAATCACACAGAATCTCAGTGTTGTATTACTTAAATATGTACAAATATAAAATCATAAAATTAGGCATAATGGATTTTTCTTAAGCTCCCATAACTATAAAACTAAAACAAATCTACAAGTTAAAAATTCAAAAATATTTAAATAAAAAGAATTTAATGATAATTTTGTTAAAACTCAATTGCTAATATTGGGTTTAATATAGGGTGATTTTCTTTAGTTCTGGTTCTATATTTACTGTATTTTTAAATTTACTAATGTGGACACTGCCTCTTTACAGAAGTATGCTGTATAAAATGGCCCTAATGTTCACTGAGCTGCAAACTATAGATTTCTGTACTTTATATATAAGTTAAACCTTAATTTTTTTCACAATTTAAAGGTTTTGTTTGATAGTAAAGTGTGACCAGATTTATACTTAACCAATCTTTCCCTGCTGATAAACAATCTTTGAACGCCTATTTTAATAAGGTGTCATTAACATCTACTTGAAGATACATTTAAATATTCTTGTTACTTAAATCTACACTAAATAATCTGATTGATGGGATTTAAAAAGAGTATTGAACACTAGAATTATTTCAAGGAGGATCTCTGTGCAATACAATGGCAGTTTCAAATTCAATATGGAACCAACTCCTACAACACATGTTCTTTTGGGTTCATGGTGCCTTTACTACCATGCTATGTTATGAATCCTCCTTGAAACACTACCACACCTTCATTTTTAAATGTTTTTATTGATTTTACAGAGAGAAAGGGAGAGGGAGAGATAGAACATCAGTGAGAGACAAATATCAACATTGATTGACTGTCTCCTGCAAGCCTGGGACTGAGCCCCCAACCCAGGTATGTGCCCTGACCAGGAATCGAACCGGTGACCTCTTGGTGCATGGGTTGACACTCAACCACTGAGCAACACCTGCTAGGATCACACCTTTATTTTTAGATTGCACTATGACATTTCTTTGCATTCACTAGCCAAGAATATGGGAGAAAAAACAAATAGAAATAATTGCTCCAAAATCACAAGTCAGTACTTTGCTATAGGAAGCTATTAATATTATTTTTTCTTCAGATTTATTTTTATTATTGGGTATGTGGGCAAACTTTATATTTTAAAAAAGGAATGCTGAAGTTTCAGTGTGACAGATGCAGTCTGCTAGTGGACTCTTCTGCCTCAGGAACTCCTAATTTCCCCACAATGTGGTCACATCAGAGGTAGTGATGAAGCCTGAGGAGGATGGCGAGGGGTGCAGGCTGTCCTCCTGGGCACTCCCGGTCTGGGAGGCCCCACTGCCAACCCCACTCTCCTCAGTGATGTTGGAAGACCCTGGCGTGGTAGAACTGCTCACCGACTGGGACTCCTGGTCACTACCTGAGCTGCGCCACTCCCATTAATATTATTTTAAAAAAGCTATATAGATAAATATGTCCAGAGATGTAACCTACGTAAATCAGAATACTTGCCCAATTTTACTTTAATTATCATCAATAGAATTTTATTTTTAACTTTAAAAAAATTGATTTGAGAGAGGGAGAGAAAGAATCACTGATATGAAGAAGAAACATCGATATGAGGGAGAAACATCAGTCGATTGCCTCCTGTATGCACCCTGACTGGGGAATGAACCAAAACCTAGGTATGTGTCCTAACTGGAATTGAACCTGCAACCTTCCAGCACATGGGACGACGCTCCAACCAACTGAACCACACGGCGGCCAGGCGGCATTAATATTATTAATGATATTATTTATAATCAATAAAATGAAAGCACAATTTATTTATTTATTTATGTTTTTTATTTTTATTGTTGACACTATTACAGATGTCCCCTTCCCCTTTGCCCACCTTCACCCAGCCC